CGCCAGCACCCGCGCATGCGCACACGTACTGGCGACAGCCTGTCTGGTCCCAGGCAGCTTGCACCTGCCCAGGACCGTTTGCAATGCCCCAAGCCTGCTTCCACAGGCTCAGGACATAACAGTTACATTTTTCTGTTCTTGAAAAACTATACATATGAGAGCTAATTGTGACTTGCATAAAGGACCCTCAGGATATGGCAACCATCAAATATATAAATGAAATGAAATAAAACAAAAAATATGGGAAGGACCCATAATCTTTAAAAGCCAAGCTTTTCTTCAGGGAGTTTGCTTTTTACATTAAGGAAATAATAATAGATATGTGGAAAAAAGATAATTTCTCTGCTTCTAGATATTTTGCTGCAAGTCTACAGAATTCCTTATTTATTTTTTCAAATGCTAAATATGTCAAGATCAAAGATTACTGTATAGTATAGCTATCTTTCCTCTTTACTCAGATAGAATATAAATGAATAGTGAATAAATAAATAAATTGGTTTTCCAGTCCCTTCTTGATGTCCTATATTATATTGGCTCTCTAGTTTTAATTTTGAATGAAAATCAGTGACATACACATTGTCAACAGTCAATATCTCAAAAATCCTAAAAGGCATGAATGATTGAGATATTTGTAGTTAAAAGATGAAAATTTAATTCCAGAGGTTCATTCCTAAATCTTCTGCAAATTCTGGCCCTGGATTGAATAAAAGTTTCAGAAATAATGTATATTGCTTTCAAAGATAATGACTGTTTAAAACAGATTGAGTTATCCTTTCTAAATTATCAATAAATTAGCTTCTTACCTGGTTCAGAGAGGAACACAAGGAAAAAGAATGCAAAGAGCAAATAAAGAATCTTCATGTTGAGATTGCTTCTGGATCAAATCTTACTCCTGAAACAGTACACAGTTGTCTATTTATGGAGTTAGAATGATTGCATCACATTGACTCTGTGAAATGTTGCAACTATTCTTAGGAATTGTATTTACATAAATGATTATTGTATCTTCCTTCTATTGAAATATTCCTGTGGGTTTGCTTTTGCAAAAGTCCTTGGAGGAACAAGAGACTTAATTGAACGGTTAATCTGCTGTAGTTTTAAAAGTACCTAACCTCAGGGTTTCTCATGTCCAGGAGGGGTAGAGAAAAGTCCTTTCTGAATTGCTGTAGAACCTCTATCCATTCAGAAAGATAATGTGTAGCCATATTCAAAAGTGGTAGGAGGTATGGAGGTGTCACAATGCAGTTTATAAGCAAAAGATATAAATCTTGGATTTTTATTACTGACCTCGGAGACATAGTTTGATGGGCGGCTTTGCTCCTTAATGGGTGTCTGCCACACTCAAATGAAGTGCAATCCAATTATGTTTTCTTTGCAATATCCTCCCAATGATTCTCCGGATTCTGCTAACATTTTAAGAACATATAAACACAGTAATTTAAGTGGGCAATCACACTTAAATATGAATCAGAAGTGTGCATCAGCTGTCACAAAAACCAATGCAGGCATAGATTGCATTAACAAAGGGATATAATCAATATGATGTGAAGTGTTAGTACCATTTTATAATGTCTTGATAAGAAAACACTTGAAAATATTGCATCCATTTGTTTCCATGATACAAAAAAAAAAAAAATCTAGAAAGAATACAGAGAAGAGCAACAAACAAAATTAGGGGACATAAAACATATGAAGAACAGTTGCAGGAATTGGGTATGTCTAGTTTAATGAAAACAAGGAGTAGGTGTGACATGAAAGCAACGTTTCAATATCTAAGGGGCTATCGCAAAGAAGAGGGAGTCAACCTATTCTTCAAAGAACCTGAAGACAGAACAAGAACCAATGGATGGAACGTAATTGAGGAGAGAACTAACCTAGAAAGAAGAGAGATTTCATGGCAGAACAATTAATTAGAGGAACTGCTTTCCTTCAGAAGTTGTGGGTGCTCCTTCACTGGAGGTGTTTAGGAAGAGATTGGACAATCATCTGTCTGAAATGCTTGAGCACAGTTTGGACTAAAAGACCTCTAAGATCCCTTCCAATTCTGTTATACCAGGGTGTCAAACGTGCAATGTCACGTGATGTATCACAATGTATCACAACTTTTTTTCCATTGCTGGCAATGGGATGGGCGTGGTTTCGCCATGACACAACCGGTCCGTGGGCTTGCAGTTTGACACCCCTGTGTTATACGGTTGTTCTTTTTTAGAACATAGAAACAATAAACAAAATACACTAAAATAATAATTCAAATGTAAAACTCCTTTCATTAAAAAAAATATAAACCAAAAGTGAAGGAAAATCTCCCCCCTAAAAAAAATTCCTCTTACCATATATTTAAACTCATGGTAGTCAATGGTTTGCTGAAAAATGCCATAGGATATAATAAGTAACCAAATACAAAATGTAATTCTAAAATATCATGAAACCTGCACCAAAGCAGAATTTATGATTTTATCTTAACCTTTTATTATATTTCATTGTTTTTTAAAAGTATTTCCAAAAGCTATTCCTTTAACTATAGTATAAGATCACTTTTTAAATTTCTTAGAATTACAGTATTTTTCCAGCCACCCCAATGCATGATATAAGTATAATTTCTAGCAGTAAGTAAAATTATAAAGTTTTGGTTCTGCATGTAATTCATCATCACATAAACCTTGCCCCATAAATGATCTCATTTCATGAAAACGTTATTCCCCAAAAATGACAAAAGATTATAGGACCATTTAAGTAAATGAATATGATGTTCATTCTTTCCAGTACAATCTTTGTGGGGTCCAATACACTAAATACAACTTTTGGGTAATTCAACTTTAATCTCAAATCTGTCAACACCATTTGAACATTTTCAAGAATATGAAGCTTTTGATAGATTATTATTTATTTTTAAGATCATCACTACTTTTAAATGTTTGTATCGGTTTGTAGTGGTGAATAGCAATATTTTGCTTATTCATTTTCAGTTGCATGACTATCTACAAGCAAGTTGTACTTGTTGAGGATCTCAAAAATAAAAATATGTTTATTGCCCCTTTACTAATACATGCATTTCTCTGTTTTGATCACCTCATCCTGCTTCACCCTGTATGACACTAAAGAATGGAATGGAATGGAACGGAATGCAATGGAATAGAATGGAATGCAAAGGAATAGAATGGAATGGAACAGAATTTGTTGTTGTTAGTTGCGAAGGCGTGTCAGACCCATCGCGACCACATGCACAATGTAGAATAGCTTTATTGGCAAGTATGATTGGACATACAAAGAATTTGTCTCTGCTGCATAAGCTTTTGGTGTACATACAAACAAATTAATATAATCAGTGTACATACAAACAATATGGTAATATAATCATAAGATACAAATAGGATACCCATAGGAGAAGATAGTAGAAAAGATGAGGAGTGTTAAGTCCTCAGCGAAATGGCAATGACGTGAGAAGCAGTTGTAGTTCTCAGGAACCTCTTTATTTCTGTTCAGAATACTGGTGACAAGACGCCGACAATGCCCAAGTCTCCCTGCCCTTTTTATAGGCGATCCCCGGGCCAAACTGTAACATTTGGTGCGCCTGCACTTTGCGCATGCGCGCAAGTGCTGGCGACAGCCAGTCTGGTCCCGGGCAGCTTGCACTTGCCCGGGACCGTTGCAATGCCTCGAGCCTGCCTTCACAGGCTCAGGACATAACACCCCTTCCCCCCCGGCTAAGACTATAATCATACAAATAATAATATGCAACCCAATACGAGTGTGATACCCATACTAGCTTTCGTACCAGTTATCTCTTTTGCTTCTATTGTTCCCCAGTGTTCCATTTGTTTTTTCTACATGTACAGGAATACTCTCTGTTAACTCTGTTTTGCCAGTAGGGTTACAAAATCTTCTAAATACTTAGGAGATCTTTTAGCTCTCTGATTTCTGGGTACCTTCCAAGTACCCCTTGACTGAGGGGTGCTGTATGCTTGTTCCCCTTGCTTGGCCCTGGTGATTCCCAAGGACTGTGCTCCAATGCCTGGCCTGCTTGCTTGCCCACCGGGCTCGTCAGGCCAGGGCTTCTTTCTCTGTTTGACCTGATTGTCCTGCCTGGTTGCAGGCTCTCTGGCCCTCCTAAGTGACTGCCACTGTTGGGCAACTCTGTAGAACCTCCCAGGTCTGTCCTAGACCTATCAAGAGGTTGTCTTTCCTCATGTTCCCGTTCTGTAACCGGGCTTACTAGGGTTTCAGTACTGTCCCAAAACTCATTTGCCCCCTGAGTGATGCCAGAGGTCTTGTAGTCGGGATTCGGTTCCACGACCACCTCCCTATGTGCTTGCCCCCTTCTAGGAGCAGTGGCAGTGTTGGCCAACTAGACGGAATGTGTGCCAGCTCTCTTGCAGGGTGTGGGTTGTTTGGATGCTCCCGGATATCCTCCCTGACTGGAGTACTAAATGATGCTGGTGTATAGTGATTATGCCCCCGGGGTGACTCCCTGGCTGGAGTAGGCACTGGTGCCTGAGTTCTAGTTGGACTCCATGAATTCCTGTTTGGAACACTCGCGGAATTTTGGAATGAGCTGTCTGTGGTTCCCTCGTTAATGATAGGCTGCAGCCCACAACCTTCCCTCTGCCCATAGGGGTCCCCCTCCCCCCTGGAAAAGAACCAGGAGTCTCAGTGGGAAGGTCCCATCTTGTGCGTAGCTGATCGATGTGTCGTTGCAGGACACGACCGTCATCCAGGGAAACCTCGTAGGACAAAGGACCTGTGACCCTGGACACAGTGGCAGGGACCCATAAATGACCAGGCCCGTAATTACGAGTCCAAACCGGGGCACCCACTAGCAGTTGTCTAGGTGCCCTGGGGTGTGTGATTGTAGAAGGTAGTCTGTCCGGGTGCAACCGGTCAAGCTTGGTAGTCAGTTTGCGCCCCCAATGAAGTTCAGCTGGGCTCCTCCCGGTAGAAGTGGATGGTGTAGTGCGATAAGAAAGGAGGAAGTCAGCCAACCTGTGATGCCAGTCTCCATAGGTTAGTTTCTTCAAAGCATCCTTGGTGATGCAAACCATGCGTTCAGCCATACCGTTGGTGAACGGGTGGAAAGGCGCAGAGGTGGCATGACGAATCATGTTGGCCTGTAAGAAAGCTTGGAATTCAGAAGAAGTGAATTGAGGGCCATTGTCAGATACGAGGACATCAGGAAGCCCGTGTGCAGCAAAAATCCCCCTCAGTACTTGAATAGTCTTTGCAGTGGTGGTGGAAGAGACAGGTACAACCTCAAGCCATTTTGAATGGCTATCAACCAAGACCAAGAAGAATTGACCCTGAAAGGGCCCAGCGTAGTCAATGTGCACCCTAGACCATGGAGACTGTGTTTCCTCCCATCTATGTACAGGAGCTTGGGGCATTTCAGGGCATGAGCGTTGACAAAGGTGGCATGCATGCACCTTAGCTTCAATGTCTCTGTCTAACCCAGGCCACCACAAATGGCTGTGCGCAAGCGCCTTCATACGTACAATGCCAGGATGACCCTCGTGGAGGGAACCTAAGACCCTAGTCCTCATTGAGGTAGGAATGACAACTCTGCTCCCCCAAAGCAGACAACCCTGGAAAGTGGATAACTCGTTCCTTTTTGACCAGAAACTCTGAAACTCAGTGCCTGGACAGCTCTCTGGCCATCCAGATAAAACCCAAGATAGGACACGAGAAAGTGTGAGATCTGTGGCTGATTCAGCAGCCACATCCCTGGCATCTAAAGGGGACTCAGGCAAGGCTTGAATTGAGAGGATATTGATTGTTGGTGCAGGGTCAGCCTCTACTACTGGCAGGGGTAATCTACTGAGGCCATCAGCATGGCCCATTTCTTTCCTAGGTTTGTGAAGTAAAGAAAAATCATAGGCAGACAGAAAGATAGACCATCTCAGCATTCTGGGGGAGATGATTTGGGGGGTTTGTTTATGTGTGGTAAATAGCCCCAACAAAGGCTTATGGTCAGTGAAGACCATGAAATGCCTGCCATAAAGGAAATCATGGAACTTTTTGATTCCAGCAACAACAGCTAAAGCCTCCCTGTCTATTTGAGCATAATTTCGCTCTGCGGAAGACAAGGTCCTGGAGTAATATGCAACAGGAACCTGAGTTCCATGTGGTCTGAGGTGGCTTAGTACGGCTCCCACCCCATAAGGAGAAGCATCACAAGCGATGCACACAGGAAGGGATTCATTGAAATGTGCAAGCACACTGTTAGAAGTGAGTAAGGCCTTAACCTCATTGAAACTTGCTTCATGTTTTTGTGACCACTGCCACACTGCCTGTTTGTCCAGGAGCCTATGAAGAGGTTCGGCTACACTAGCCTTGTTTGGAAGGAAGGAGTTGTAAAAGTTCAAAAGGCCCAGGAAGGCCTGTAGTTTGGCCTTGGACTTTGGCCTAGGAGCATGCATAATAGCTTTTAATTTGGACTCAGCAGGGTGAATCCCAGTAGCATCAATTTTGAATCCCAGAAAATCTGTAGAAGGCACCCCAATTTTACATTTGTCCTTCTTGAGTTTGAGGCCCGTTTCCCTGAACCTCAGCAGGACAGCCCTTAATCTCAGCTGTGTGTGGAGTCTCCAGCAATTAAGACATCATCAAAATAGGGGCAAACCCCTGGTATACCCCGTAGTGTGTTTTCCATTATGCTTTGGAAAATTCCAGGAGCAACATTTACTCCAAATTGTAACCTCTTTACCTTGAATGCCCCCCTGTGGGTCACAATGGTTTGAGCTACAGCAGCAGCATCATCAACAGGCAACTGTTGATACGCCGGAGCTAGGTCAAGCTTTGCAAAAACACGCCCCCCCTTGAGGGAGGCCAGAATATGACTGACCACGGGGACAGGATAGGCATGTTGCTGCAATGCCTTATTCAGAGTGCATTTGTAATCTGCACAGATGCGAATGTCCCCATTTGCCTTGAGAGGCGTGACAATGGGGATCTCCCAAGGACTGGAGTCGACAGGTTCTAAGACTCCTTGCTGAATCAATTTGTCCAATTCGGTGTCAATTTTACCTTTCAAATCAAAAGGAACCCTTATTGCTTTAATTCTAATAGGGATGACAGTGGGGTCTAGTTTTAATGACACAGGGGGTCCTTTGTACGTGCCCAACTGTGGGCTGAAAACATCTGCAAATTCTTTGCAGAATTCCTGTAGGTCTACTGTTTGCAAGCTATTGAGCCCTGTGACATGTATTCCCAAGGCCTCAAACCAATCAAGTCCTATGAGACTCGTTCGCTCACCCCCTACTACTATTACATCTAATGGACCTTCAAAATCCTTGTACTGCACGTTAAGGGTGGCCTCCCCCTTAACACACACTCTGGAGTTTTGAAAGTCTGTTAACACAATGTCGGAAGGCCTCAGTTTGGCCTGAAATCCGCTGCCAGAACAAATCTTCCTGAACATGTGCATGGAAATGATTGAAAGTGCAGACCCCGTATCCAGTTCCATAGCCAATGGAACCCCTTGTAACTTCACTTTAAGGGTCCCCTGTTTTGGCTGGGGACCCTGGTACCTTTCAGGCGTAATTCTTCTCGAGGTTGTACCTTCTGATGGCCCAGACACACAGCTGCAATGTGGCCCTGTTTTCCGCATGCTCTACAGATAGCGGAGCGAAATCTGCAGTAGGTCCTCTTGTGACGACCTCCACAACCGAGGCACTTGTGAACAGCTGAAGAGCTTTCCTTCTGCTTCCCTTCTTTTGTGGGGTAGAGACGGTCTACTTCATCGTCAGGATCCTCCTCTGGGTTCCTTTGGACTCCTTCCTGGTGCACGGACACAGCTTCTGGAGTACTTCTGATCGGCCTCATGTTCTTGATGGCGCCACCTGCTGCCTCTTCTGCAGTAAACTCTCTCAAGGCATCTTGGAATGATAAGTCTTCTTTAGCGAAAAGTCTCTGCTGCAATTCTCTAGTCTCAGTCCGCATACAAATCTGTCTCTCAGCCGTTCTTCTAGATCTTTGAACTCGCAGTGTTTAGCGGCTTTTCTCAGCGCAACAATGTACTCTTTGGCTGATTCTCCAGGCCGCTGATCCCTCTGTTCGAAGGTGTGGCGCCAAGTGATGATGGACAACTTGGGCTGGAAGTGTTCCTTTAGTAGTTTTTTGATATCTGTGTAGTTAACATATTCTAGAGCTGCAGGTGCTGCTATGTTTTCAGCGATCTCGAATGCGTCTTGACCGCAAAGGCACAGCAGGGTGGCAGCTTTTAAACTATCTTCTCTTACTTGATTGACTTTAAGATAGTTTTCTACCCTGGCTACGTAGGACTCCCATCTTTCTGGATGCGAGAGGTCGAATTCTGAAAGTCTTCCAACTTTTGCCATTTTTGTAGTACAGGAAGGGTCTATCAGCCAGCTTACCCCCGATGTTCGCTGAATTGGTGGGCAGCTGCTGAGTTTAACGCCGTTTCCTACTGCTCAGGACTCTAGGGTAAGCTTACAACTTGTCTGCAGTCGTTGTAAGGCATCCCATCCTCGTCGCCAGTGTTAAGTCCTCAGCGAAATGGCAATGACACGAGAAGCAGTTGTAGTTCTCAGGAACCTCTTTATTTCTGTTCAGCATACTGGTTACAAGACGCTGACAACGCACAAGTCTCCCTGCCCCTTTTATAGGCGATCCCCGGGCCAAACTATAACATTTGGCGCGCATGCACTTTGTGCATGCGCGTGAGTGCTGGCGACAGCCAGTCTGGTCCCGGGCAGCTTGCACCTGCCCGGGACCGTTGCAATGCCCCGAGCCTGCCTTCACAGGCTCAGGACATAACAAGGAGGATAATAGTAATACAGGTCTCCTATATACTAAATATTTTTAGACAGTGCTATGGGAGTTTAGTGTTCATCAGAGTGATGGCCCAAGGTGAAAAACGTCTCTGTGGCTAATTGTTTTGGCTCTCAATAACTGCATCCTGAGAGCAGGAGTTGAAGCAGTTTATATCCAGGTTGTGATGAGCATGTAGTTACTGTATTTTCTCTTTCTGACTCATGCAATGTTGAGTATTGAGTAGGTACTCAATGGAAGGCAGGCTGGTTGCAATCAATTTATTTATTTACTATATTAAATATAATGTTGGTCTTTGTGCAAGAATACATTTTGAACTTTGGAACATATTGAATAATTTGCTTAAATGACAAAGTTTCATTTTGGGTTATACCAATAAAATAAAATAATAAAATAAAAAATAAAATAAAATATAAAATAACACATGCTATGCTATGCTATGCTATGCTATGCTATGCTATGCTATGCTATGCTATGCTATGCTATACTATATATTATGTATATTATGGATGAGAGGATAGATGGGGAACTCATCAAATTTGCAGACGACACCAAGCTGGCAGAAATAACCAACACTCCAGAAGACAGGCTTAAAATACAGAAGAATCTTAATAGAACACTGGGTGCTATCTAACAAAATGAATTTCAATGGTGAAAAAAAGTTTTACATTTAGGGAAGAAAAAATAAATGCACAGGTATAGTATAGATGGTACCTTGCTCAATGGTAGTAACTGTAGAGGAATCGTGGAGGCCTAGTGGACAATTACTTAAATATGAGCCAGCAGTGTGCTGCAGCTGCCAAAAAAGCCAACACAGTGCTAGGCTGCATTAACAGAGGGAGAGGATCAAGATCACACGAAGTATTAATATCACTTTACAATGCCTTGGTAAGGCCACATTTGGAATACTGCATCCAGTTTTGGTCATCACGATGTAAAAAAGATGTTGAGACTCTAGAAAGAGTACAGAGAAGAGCAACAAAGATGATTAAGGGGCTGGAGGCTAAAACATATAAGAGCGGTTGCTGGAATTGTCTAGTTTAATGAAGAGAAGAACAAGGGGTGACATGATAGCAGTGTTCCAATATCTCAGGGGTTGCCACAAAGAAGAGGGAGTCACACTATTCTCCAAAGCATCTGAAGGCAAGACAAGAAGCAATGGATGGAAACTAACCAAAGAGAGAAGCAACCTAGAACTAAGGAGAAACTTCCTGACAGTTAGAACAATTAATCAGTGGAACAACCTGCCTCCAGAAGCTGTGAATGCTCCAACACTGGAAGTTTTAAAGAAGAGATTGCACAGCCATCTGTTTGAAATGGTATAGGGTTTCCTGCCTGAACAGGGGGTTGGACTAGATGACCTCCAAGGTCCCTTTCAACTTTATTATTATTACTATTATGTTACATTACATTACATTATATTATATTTTAATGTTGTTTATTCATTATACTTTGTATTATATTGTATAATATCATATTATAATAGTATAGCATTATATATTATAATATTGTACTATTACCACAAGATATGATATTTAATTATATCATATTAAATTATATCATATTAAAATTATGATACAATATTATGCAATACCATATAATATAAGGAATAAGCAACATTAAAATATAGAATCACTGTAACAGAGCAGAGCAACAGTGCTTTAGTAGCAGCTTTGAGATCCATTCCCTCCCATAGCTAATATACTCTGAGACAGTTTGTAAATACAGGTTCTAACATTTTTATGAAATAAACAATAGAGTGGGAGGCAACCTAAACTCCTGAGGAATG